CTATAAAAAAAATTCAGATTAGAAACAAATTTGGTGCAGACATAGCCAAACACAAGTTCTGTAAATAGCATATGCTGAATAAAGTTTTGCTCACAATGTGAAAATGACGTCATTATGCAGCTACTTGTCACGAAAAATGGTTGTCTCAGTGGAACTCGTTCAACAAACGACTAAAATATTTATGGTATATCTTAAAAATGCCTTTGAAGTAGCGTATAAGAATTTGTTCACAGTATATTAAGACAAATGATTTCCTATAAATTCAATCAATGATTGGATAGAGCGTTTTAGTGAAGGAAGGCAGATGGTTAATATGATACTTGTTATGTTGCCTGGTGAAAGCAAGTTTGAAAAGGGATGTGTTTTTAATTAAGCAATATGCTATCAAAGACCTCCAATTTACACTTTGAAAAATACTTGAATATTTCAACAATAATACAACTATCAAATGCCTAAAATATCGTTTACTTTTTGATCACCCCTCGTATACAATTTCATTACAGCGGAGCAACATTGGAAAAGGAATGAAATCATTCAGCGTGGGTTAGAGGATTTAATGAATAAAAAAAAAACATTTTTTCTATTTGCCCGTTTTGTCAAAATTACAATTTAACAGAGTAAAAAAAATGGACATAATTAAATATTTTATACCATCTTTAAAATGTTTGGTGGTCCTCCCAACTCAGAAAAAATTATTGGGTCGGTATTTATAAGTGAGAAAAAATTTCCTTAAAATTTAAACATATTTGTTAACGTAAGAAAAAAATATCGTGTAATGGGATGTAAAAAAAAAATTGAGTCGGGCCATTTCTAGACAGTAGATCGGGAGAAAGGGCAACCAAATATTTTTATAACAAATGGTCTTATGAGGCTAGTACATGTTCCATCACATAAGTAGTAATGCAACTTTTTGTAAGTAATGTAACTTTTTGAATCTTTGTCACTATTTTGAAAAACAAACATAGGATTTTCGGGGGGGGGGGCTATAGCCTCTCACTGTTTTTTGCGATGATAGACAAAGCATATGCAATGGACCTTTCTTTGCAAACATTGTTCTTGCTTTTAAATTTCAAAGAAACAGCTTCGTGTGTTCAATGGGCGAGAGCTTACAACGTTGATAACATAATGAGACATGATGCTTTTTTATGTCCAAACATTACTCCATACAATGTGTGGGTCATTGCAAACAATCTAGCTATTTATATGAGGTGCCTGAAGGAAATCTTATAACTGCCTATTTTTTCTGTCTAACTGCTGAACAAAATAGACATATGTACCAACTTTTCGAATGTAAGACATGTAATTACAATTTGTTTTTCATGCACTGCATATTGTTTAACTTTTTCAAATTAAATGCTAAGCATCCTCCTTGCAGTGCCCCATTTGAAAATAACTTCTATCGCCACAGAAAAAAGACCCGACGTAAACACATATGTTTAGGACATTTTTTATCTTTTTTCTTGAGTTTTAAAGAAATCAACAAATTATCAAGACTTGTTCCATGAAAAATTAAATATAATCATGGTAATAAACGCATCTATCCACAGCAGATATATGCACAGGCCAAGCACGTGCTCAGTGGAATAATATTAACAAGGAAATTCGAGCTGTAAACAGAACAGTTTTTCCCGATTTGCTGGAGTGGGGTTAAAATCGCGTTTTTTCATTATTCAGACGATGCGATGCAACAAATAACAGTAGTAAGTAATATAACATAATGATTATTACTTAGCAATTTCTTGTCTTGATGTTATTATGGTCGCATTTATTCTAAAATCAATGTTATTCGAACTCCGTGTGACAGAGGAATGGCGGACGAAATAAACACATGGCCTCAGGAAGACACCCATATGAAAAATCAAATTTTCAAGAATTATGGATAATGACAAGAAAAAAGCGAAACAAATGGTTGTAGCCATATTATCAATGAATCAAACTAACTCCATTTTCAATGCATTTTTCATCTCGTGAATGCTGTAGCTGCGCAGTTCTAACATGATTAATTTCCTCCTAATTAAAACAAAATAAACTTAATTATTTACTAATTTTGGTCTCTAACAGTAGGTTATTAGTGCATTAACACTTTGAGTAACTTTGGGCTAGTGTAGTAGTGTATTAAGCGCATTCTTGGTATTTCTTATTTTACACCAGACTAGATCCAATATGGCTTGTACATCCCCCTTAAGCAAAATTGCCTGATTCTTGAAAATAGACCGCGTCAGTACCTGTAATGTCCTTGTACTAGTCCTCTCGAGCTCCGGGAGTCACATTTATCAATTGGTGCTAGTATTCAATATGAATTTTAGAAACAGAGAACTACAGAGGTTTAGCATTACCTCCAAATGGATTTATGAGTTATGATCGACGGATATTTGGATGCACTAGCAAACCCTTTGATTGTTACCCGAAGAAAGTATAGTGTCCACAACCTTGTTTTCGGGCCTATTATACGGTATTTATATTATTATACCTCATTATAAATATTCTAAACAACGCATTATCTGATTGGTTCTAAGTTTTCACGTGATCGGGTCGTAAAACTTCATATTTCCCGGCCGTCAGCATGATTTTCATCACATTCCACCTCTTCGGATACTTAGTGCATTTTCCCGCAAAAATTATCGTTCGTTTAAAGAAAACTACCGAATGTATAGTAGACGTCACAATAACCTGGTTTACGTCATAAAATTGATGATAATGTGTTGACCAAAGAGTTTTAGTAACGTTTTGTTAAAAATGAAAGTGAATTTGAGAGCGGTGCCGAATTTGAAAGTTTATGTTTATTTCAAAGGTTTTGCTTGTTTCGGTATAATAAGCAATTCATTGCATGAATGTTCGGGAAACATGAAGACTTATTCAGCCAAGAAATATCATATTCCCCTCGGGCGAAGCCCTCGGGGAATATGATTTTTCTTGGCTGAATAAAGCCCTCGGGGAATATGATTTTTCTTGGCTGAATAAGTCTTCATATTTCCCTCACTATCATGCAATAAATGTATAATATATTTTTTTTTTATCATGAATTAAACAAACAAAGTAAACCCCTCCCGGAAAATACCAAATTTTATTCTAATTTCTTTACATTCATCAGTTATTTCCCTTTTATAAAATGCTTGCACTCCATGCATCAACATAATGCAAGGTAATGCAAAGTAACAAAAATTTAATGTAATGTAACATATATCATTAAGAAATAGATTTAATGTATCAAGATGTAAACAAAAAAGAATTATAATATTCTTTTGTTGTGGATCAAATTAAACAATCATGTACATGTAACTTAGGTCTGTAGACAAAAATTACACTAACGCAATATGCATATTACGTGTGATTTATTTGTTGCTGAAAATTAAATAAAAAATGAATGTTTAGTGTCAAAAAAATAAAAATTGAAAATCTTAAATATGTATTGCACATGTATAAATAAATGAAGTGATCATTGACTTTTTCAACCCATACTTGATGTGAAGTGTTATGTACATGTATGTAGGATTCGCTGTAAAGTAACACATGTAACATGTAGGGTGAATTCACCATGCATCGGATACCCTTGTACTTCAACAAGTTCTAGCGATATCGCTACCGACGGAAAATTATCAAAATGGAGTTTAACATTTAGTTTGTGATTAGAATATCAATTTGGGACACAATTATATGCCCTTTATTGAGAAAATATCCTCAAAAATGGAGTTTTTAGGAATAAGTCAAAATTCACCATGGATCGGACATTGTTTACCATGCATCGGACAGACGGTATTTTAACCGGAAAAATATCGTACCTTTATTATAGTTCTTTAAATTGCTTGATATGGATATATTTTTGTCTTTTATCAAAGAAATAACCCTCAACTTAAATTTAATTGACGATATCATTGCACAAATGTAGAACGATTCAAGAGACCTCACTCTGCCTTAGAAATGCTTTAAAATGCTTATAATGCGGTTATTCGCGCCTTTTTTCATGGTTTATCATACTCTGGTTTGTAGAAATAAATTGAGTCAAATTCCAGACGTCATATATCGATAACTTGTATTTTGACTGAAAATATAGAGTTTTTATTTTCTTTTTCCGCAAAAAACAGCTATCAGCTGGGTTCTGTATGAAAATGGTAGCGCTTACCTTTGCATCGGAAAGTGTCCGATGCATGGTTAATTTGTGTCCGATGTACGGAGAAATGAACATATTAGTGAAAACCAGCTCTAAAAAGAATTATACAAACATTGAAGTGAAATTTCTTTAAAATTTATGTAAAATTACCAATCTTTGACTTTATCCACCAAAGTCTGACCCTTTCCGTTGAAGTCGAATTTTAAGAACGATAACTCTAAAAATCGCAAAATCATAAATTTCTGGTTATTCCCCTTTGATGATGTAAAATATGACGTAACTTCAAGGCCATTCTCGAGATATTTTTATCACAACATGATAATAACAATCGGTATCATTAAAAAATTTAAATCTTCAGCTTTAAGACAGAAACAAATAAATACACGGAACTCTTAAGTTGAAAGCGAATTTATTGTCTAAAGTTGTCCGAAGCAAGGTATGTGTCCGATGCATGGTGAATTCACCCTATTTGAATTTGGAAATTACGTGTAAAAAACATGTTGATTCAATATTTTAATTTGTTACAACTAAGGCATTGTATGGCAATATATCTTTCATATTTATATTAACTTATTATTATTGTCATTTTAACTTTCAATCTTACTTTTCATAATTACACATTTTTACTTCTACTGCTTTTTTCTTCGATGTAATTTTTAAAGTATTAACATAAACAAATGGGATCTACAAATGTAACACAGTATATAATACTATTTAGTATTCATTTGCATACCATGTTGCCGTATTCAACTTAACTTTCATTTTTTAAAGTTGCAATTCAAGGGGATCAAAATATTCAAAACGATCTATAGGCCGCATCTGGTGTATACATAAAAAATGAAATTTAATGGTAAACAAAAACTTGGGGTGTATTTTACGTTTCAAGCATGCATGTATCGATTTACCTTGAATACTAAACGCATCCCACAAAACTATTAGAAATTACCACAAAATTGCCCAATCTATATGTTTCAATTCAAGCATTTTATAATAAGTACTTTTAAATCCAATTTAAATCCAATTAATTAAATGGTAAGTTTCTTGGATTATCCAAACTGGCGCTATTAATCATCAGATGATAAACATAAATTTTATATTTCTTTTTCCTTCTCAAGGATTCAATTCTTAAATATTACAAGCAAAAATATTTAAGTGGCCCTGGACTTATACTACGATATCGACTTATAGGCGAATTCGTCCTTGACACAGATTCCGTTATTTTTATCACAGTTTTCAGTCACTGTCTGGTTATTGTTTATACACGGTGATGTCTCTGTCTCCGTTATTTCAGTGTCTACAATTCTCCTTTGAATTTCATTTTCACAGTTTGTTTCATTTTGGAAGGATGTAAGCAACGTTGAATCTGATTGGTTAATAGGATTATCGTCCTTTTCGCTTTTATGTGATGCATTCCCATTGGACGTCGGTTGTTTAACAGAATTTCGTGTCCGGGACAAAAATGTTCGTGTTGTTCTGATACTCCCGGTCCTGTCCGTAATGTGCCGGCGCCAAACTTTTCTGAATTCCGCCTGTACCTGGAGATAGAATGATGAACATCGCAGGTTATAATGGCAAGAAAAAAAACGGTCGATCTCTGTTGTTGTAAAATTATAACAACACTTATTTTGATTGATGATATTTTGTGAAAAAGGGGATGGAAATAAAAATATGGACAAACTCTGGTCTAATAGATGCCAAATTCTTTTTATGGAGAGATGGTTTTATTTTTCTTAAAACTATCAATCACTGTTACAAGTGAAATAAGGTTCATAATAAACTTATATAAAAAGTCATTGCAATAATAATAAACAGGCATTCTTACCTCAGCGTTCAGGAAACAGAAAAGCATCGCTAGGATAAAACCCTAAAAAAAAAACAAAGGTAGGTTATTGAAATTAAAAAAAAAATCGAAGTTAGAAGCCGATTGTCCTAGTCTTATCCGATAAATTGCAGAACCATAAGTATGTTTTGCAAGGAACCTTAACATTTAAGAAACTTGAAATTCAAATCAATTACACCTTACTAATATAGTTTAACATATTTGTATCGAAGTGCCAAGGATAAACGATTTGAATATAAAGTGGCGTAATTCATTAAATGCGATCCATTTAAAACTACAGAATGTCGTAGTTTTTGTTAAGGCACGTAATTCGTTATATCCGATTTTAAAATTAAAAAAAAAACGTCATTTTCATGAAAAGTGACATAATTCGTTATATCCGGTACATTTAAAAAAAATTACAGGGATGATAACTTTTTAAAAAATGACGTTATTTGTTTTATCCGATAGAGAACTTTATTCGGTAATAAACAATATTTGCCCCCCAAATCAAACTTTGATAGAGATATATTAATTAAAATTAAGTTCTTAAACAAGGGAGTATATGCTGACCTCAAAGCACTGAATATTTTCATAAGTAATGACGTCATATGTACGTAATGACGTCAAAAACATGGCGTAAATTTCAGTTTTTCATGAATTTTACAGAAAAATGTAAATATTTCGTCGATATTTTGAGTAAAATTCACCAAGCGCATGTGTGTTCAGGATCAATATTTTGATATAATGTGTAGAATGATAATATCAATGAAATACGTCAATAATGTTCCTGATCAAACTTGCGCTCTTTGAATTCTAAAGCTAAAATTGTTGCAATTTTGTCCATTTTGTCCTCTTTCTGAAAAAGGATATAAAATCGGACTAGTTTGTGACATCATAAAAACAAAAATTGTGAATACACTGCTTTGAAACTATAATATTTTCTTTTAATTTATATTTCTCATACAATTTATTGAATTCAGCACATTTCAGGAAGTTTTCAAAATTTGACTTTTGTGTTTTTGTGTTTTGACTTTATATTGACAAATATATGCAATATACCGCATATAGTTCTTTAAAATGACAGGAAAGTAATTTTTTACGTGACGTAATCTGTTATAAGCGATAAATTTAAAACTACCGGTATATGAAATGGAATCTACTTCGATCTCTGCATAAAGCGTATTATACGTTACCTGAAAGGAGTTGAAGAATAATTCTGACCACCACAAGATGAAGTACATCATGGACTTCTCATCTAGATAGCCGAAGCTTGACATGAGGTAATTAACAGAGTATATGATGTAATAAACCCCGAACAGGGGAATAAGGATCAACGTGGACTTAGCCAAGCGTCTGAAAAACAAAGATAAAGCATCAACTAATGAATTTATGAATTTTTTTTAAAAAGGAAGAAATCAATATCGTTATGGGCTACAAAAGGGGGACTATGAATTATATATAAAATTCTATGAAATTTAATATTTATCCAAAACTATATATTTTTTTTAATTATACATAAAGACTACACTACCTTGGAGAGTAAGATACCTATACAAAATTTTATTCACAAATTAGAGTTTATGAGAGATAGGACAAATTTTCAGTTTAAAGAAATCGAAAAACGTTTATAATATAGTTTAATTTCGTAAGACGTTTATAATTCATTTTCATTTCTTACGTAAAAATAAAAACAAACTAAAGTATCTTTATTTTCAAAAGGCTAGTCTTATAGTTATTGTTTTAATATAGTCGTAGTCATCTATGCCTAAAGGAAAAAGACATAGCTATAAACAGTATTGTTTTGATACAAAAAAAATTAATAAATGTGATAATCCTTTAATGTAATTACATGTTGTTTACGTAAATATACAACATAAGAACCTCTACAAGGCATGCGTAAATTCTGTTTCCCATTGAAGACATAACATTCAGAAATGAATACTCAGTAAGATATAACACAAAACCATATATACATGCATATTCTGTAATATATTTACTATATTCACTGACGTAAAAGCTATATATAGAGTCTATGTTTGACTCTATTTTTAAGGTAATCAAAATTAATTTATTCCAGTTGCTTGCGCATTAAGGTCAACGTCAGTCTGACCGGATGTCTATAATTGTTGTTTGGAACGATTGACTGAGAACTCCTAATGCAAAGTCTTTCGTAAAAATTAACACAAAATCGCTACTTTTAATGTATATTCTTATTTGTCTTAAAACGTTTATATTACACAAAAATACACCATCACAATCTATATATACACCTACAAAACAACATATAACTACATTGTATGCACATGTTAAACATATAAGTACACGTGAACTAAATTTGGTTTTTAAAACAAACGAGAATAATTTGCCCATATTTATTATGCCCCCGGAATGGAATAACCGGTTTACCTGTATGTTTGTTTGTCTGTCTCTCTGTTGTCAACTTAAACCTAGCCCATACCATTTGAGTGGGTATGGCTATGGTTTCAGATTTCACAGGTGCAATTTTTGTGACAGGTTCTTTCTTTGGGTACCACCAAATTTGACCTCTTGACATTGACCTTGGAGTTTGACACATTTTTACTTAAAATTACCAAACTTTAATCTTAGCCATAACATTTGAACAGTTGGTTTTAGGGCTTTCATACTCAATATGAATGTATTTATTTATTTTGACAAGACCTTTCAGTGGGTATAAATATTTTTGACCTTGACCTTAGAGTTTGACTACCTTTTGAAAAAATTCAACCATGGCCATAATTTTTGAACAGCTAGAACTAGGGTTGTTATATTTCACAGGTTTCTTATTACAAGACCTCCTTTTGGATACCAACAATTTTAACTTTTTTACCCTGAAGTTTGACTTGGATTTCAGAAGTTCGATCCTCATCATAAATTGCCATGGGGGGGGGGGGGGATAGTGTATTTTAACCGGTTTTCAAATAACTTTTATAATATTATTTACAAAAGTGTCCGGCCTTTTCTATGTTGATATATTCTACCGTTTATAATGCGCCCGGATCGATAGATCCCGGGCGTATATTGTTTTTGTCCTGTCTGTTTGTCTGTTTATCTGTTTGTCTGTCTGTCTGTTGTCAACTTTAACCTTCACCATAACTTTTGAACCATAAGAGATACAGACTTCATATTTGGTATGCATACTCCACTAATAAAGTCCTTTCAAATGACATCAAGGTCAATGACCTTGTGACCTTGACTGTGACCTATATGCTAAAAATAGTTTTTTCCACTGTTTGTCATAACTTTTGAACCATAGGCGATAGGGACTTCATATTTGGTAAACTAACTTTATTAATAAAGTCCTTTCAAATGACATCAAGGTCAATGATCTTGTGACCTTGACTGTGACCTATATGCTAAAAATATCTTTTTACACTTTTTACCTTAACTTTTGAACCATAGGAGATAGGAAATTCATATTTGGTATGCATACTCCACCGATTAAGTTCTTTCAAACGACACCAAGGTCAATGACCTTGTGACCTTGCCTGTGACCAATATGCTAAAAATAGATTTTTTTAAACTTTGTTGCCGCCGGGCGCATAGTGTTTCACAAACACATCTTGTTTTTAACTCTTATTTTTAATAATATGGAGGCCTACCGGTATATACAAGACTAGTATTTACAATACTTGTTAAATTTATATTTATTTAATATATAATATATATAAAATATATAAAATTATATTATAATAAATTTAAATTTGCTAAATTACCCGGTATATTAAAATAAATGCAGGCTTTGTACTTTAAACCATAATAAATGTGAGAGTGGAAAAACCTTAAGCATTTCTTCGTGAGATTTTTTCTAAGGGTCAGATTTGTCAATGAAAGTATTAAAAAATGAAAAAAGCCACAAATCAACAACAATCAATCAAAGCAAACAATCACTAGTTTTAATGGAAAGTTTAATTTGATTATTAATGTCATTGTTATAAATGAATAAAAGATACAAAAGACTTATGCATCGTAATGGTATCTACTTTTTAAACAGTAAACTACAAACTGCAGTCCTAAGATTGGGGGAGGGGTGTAAAAAAACTGAAAATTTGTAATAGACTAATAGAAAGACTGATGCATACACCGTACTTATGTAGCTACTTTTTTGATATTCGACCAATACAAGTATAGAATGAAATGAAAGTGTAAACAATTCACTAGGATGAACACATTATACCAGTGTCTCCAGATGTACCGTTATTTGTCCACTAACCATTGCACGTGCACAAACATCTATGAACATCAGGTGATATGCATCGCTAGACACCTAACAACCTATTAACTTAAAACACACCCAACTTCCTGTTTACCTGATCATGTGACCATCAATGTGACTAAAATAGAAACAAAATGGCGTGGTAACATTCTATAACAACCGTCAAACAAAATTGAAAAGAACTGTAATTAAACTTAAAAGGAAAAAGAGTCATATGAAACAAAATAAAAAAATGGAAGCCATTTCAGGACAGTCATTTTTCCACATAAAAGGATTCTGGATGCTAAGAAGGCAAGCTGGTGGTAGTCGTGAAATACAATAGATTTCCCCCACTGCTATTATCACGTGATTTCTGAAATATACACACCTGTACCGGAAGCTGTTTGTCTGATGCCCGGATGATGCATGAAGTTTGGTGAATAATATTCGAACAATGTTAATGAAAATAATAAACTGTATCTGAAAATGAAAAAAAAAAAAAGTTCTGCATGTCTTCAAGACAGAAAAGTTTTATTTTTCATCAAATATTTTACAATGGGCATTTTCTAGTGATTGTTTGTATCGGATAAAAAGATTTAGTATGCATTATTAATTATATGTGATGATCATACTTATGTTCCTTTTTTTTCTACGTTTATATTTCTTTTTCATTAATTCTAAGCAACAATATTTCTAAGTTTGACATACAAAATTAATAATTTTTTTTTTAACAAGAGGCCCATGGGCCTTATAGGTCACCTGAGCATTATGCAACAACTTTCCAGTGATTAAACTTGATTCATGTTTTAAGCCAGATGCTATGGCATTCACAATTTTGAAAGAGGCACCATTGATCATCATTACAATACACTTAGCAGTTGCTTAGTTTGTTTACTTAATACCCATACGCAGGGTAAGGGAACACAAAATGCATTTCAACTAATCAGTAATATTCAGCAATAATCAGTAGTGCCCCTACCATACATGAACCCCTGACCCTTTGGCCTTGTTATTTAATTAATACCAAGGAGCAGATTTCAAACCATTCATTCATTTTCAGTATATAAGTACAGCCCCCCCCCTCTATGGTACCCCTGACCCTGGGGCCTTGAAATTCACAATTCTGTAAGATATGGGCCCTTGTCTATCATAACTATATTCATCATAACTTTATTTGTAGTTCATCTGCTTAATACCCTGGAGCAGAGAAGAAAATTTTTAAAGATTGAATGTATTTTCACTATATAATCAATAGAGCCCCACCATAACACCAGAACCCCTGAGCCTGGGGCTATAAAATTCACAATTATGGAAGAGGCATTCTTGCTCATCATAACTATGTACTTAGTTAGTTTATTTATTTCCTAGGAGCAAAGGAGAAGATTTTCAAAGAATTCATATATTTTCACTATATAATCAATACAGTCCCACCCTAACCCCTGACCCTGGGGCCATAAAATTCATTATTATGGTAGAGGCACTCTTGCTCATCATAACTATGCACTTAGTAAGTTTATTTAATACCCAGGAGGAGAATTGAAGATTTTCAAAGAATTCATGTATTTTCACTATATAATCAATAGAGCCCCGCCCTAACACTAGAACCCCGACCCTGGGTCCAAAAAAATACACAATTATGGATGAGGCATTCTTGCTCATCATAACTATGCACTTAGTTAGTTTATTAAATACCCAGGATCAGAGAAGAAGATTTTCAGAGAATTCATGTATTTTCACTATATAATCTATAGAGCCCCCCCCCCCCCCAACACCAGAACCCCTGACCCTGGGGCCAAAAAATACACAATTATGGAAGAGGAATTCTTGCTCATCATAACTATGTACTTAGTTAGTTTATGAAATACCCAGGAGCAGAGAAGAAGATTTTCAGAGAATTCACGTATTTTCACTATATATAATCTATAGAGCCCCGCCCTAACACCAGAACCCCTGACCCTGGGGCCATAAAATTCACAATTTTGGTAGAGGCACTCTTGCTCATCATAACTATGTACTTAGTTAGTTTATTTGATACCCAGGGGCAGAGAAGAAGATTTTCAAAGAATTCATGTATTTTCACTATATAATCAATAGAGCCCCGCCCTAACACCAGAACCCCTGACCCTGGGGCCATAAAATTCACAATTTTGGTAGAGACACTCTTGCTCATTATAACTATGTACTTAGTTGATTTATTTAATACCCAGGAGCAGAGAAGAAGATTTTCAAAGAAATAATGCATTTTCACTACCTAATTATTTAGCCCCGCCCTAGCACTAGAACCCCTGACCCCAGGGCCATGAATTTCACAATTTTGGTAGAGGACTCATTGCTGATTACAATCATGCAAACAGTTTGACTGCTTGATGTCCAGGAGTAAAGAAGAAGATTTTTAAAGATTGCATTAATTTTAATGGTTTTGGCCCCACCCCTCAGGCCCCAGGGGGGCAGGGATCATGAACTTCACAATTTTTGTTCCCCTTCACACATAGATGCTTTATGCCAAATTTGGTTGAAATTGGTTCAGTGGTTGCAGAGAAGAAGCTGAAAATGTTCAAATGTTAACGCACAACGCACGACGCACGACGCACGACGCACGACGACGGACGAAAACGGATAGCAATAGGTCACCTGAGTTTACTCAGGTGACCTAATAAAATACACTGTTCAAATGATAAGTTCAAACATTAAGGTATATATGTTTGATATTTTACCAGAACTGTGGCCGTAATTGGTCCGTATATAATTAACGTAATCAGCTGGTTCCTCTGAATGTTCCAACAGCTGGAGATTAAAAGAAAATAAAAACTAAATTATAATCAGATATATTTCCTATTGTTATACGTAAATAACGAAGCCTTATCGAAATTTATCATATTAAGTGCATGGTAATCCGTTTAACCACTGTTATACAAACTCGCAAAGCAATAATAAGTTCCCAACAACTTCAACAACGCATACTAGTAATTGATAAGTTTACATGACTTGAAGATATCTTTTAATTTTTTTAAATTTAAATGTTTGGGGCCATAAAAATAATCCAATCTAATGTTTGAATCATGTATACTCACAGTTCATTGAATTCAAAAATCCGAACAAGAACCCATGGTACAACAAAACTTAATGGAAATACTGTAAATGGACACACTATTTATTAAATAATTAATCATGTAATGTTAAATTACATACGACTTGGTTCTTGTATTATTAAAACTGAATCTAATCGAGAAGAGCAAAAAGTAACGAAAACATTGTAAACGGACACAAGAGGAATTAAATTATAATAATCTATTGTAAACTAACATATTGGAACATGAATCTATTGCTTAAAATCATCAAAACAAAATTTACCAAAAGAAGTACCTGATAAAAACGGCGAAGGTCTGAAAAAAGCAAAGGTATGCAAGAGCACAAAGACAGATTTATATGCAATTTTCTTAAATATTAGTGGTATTGTTGTTCAAATTCGTATTTGAGGGGACAGTTTAATATCTGGAGGAGTATAGAAAGCAAATTTTTTTCCAAAAAGATCGAAAGGTTCATTAGAGGAAGGACCCAGAATCAAGAATCCGCTATATTGAATTTCTTCATGACGCCGTCCAAACCCGCATGCCCTGAAGAGTAAAGGGGTTTTGGGATAAACAGAAAGTTAATGTTTTTTCACATTAACAATATTTGCCAGATTTTTGACTTTTTGACTTAATTCTATTTCCAAACTTTAAAAAAACATCTTTCAGGAGGAAAAAAAACAAGTCCAGGAAATCATTGGATCTGTCATTTTCCAGTATACTAAGGGTCATACCCAAAAATGAGTTCTAAAAGCAATCAGAAATTGGATAAAAAATGTTACAGACATGTGTTTGAATTAAAAGAGATTAATGAGTAAAATCATGAAGACTTAATCATTGAAAAGCGTCGTTTGCTTCTTTCTGAGTACCGAGGACATTATTTATTGAACAGCCCTCGTAAGTACATAAGAACTTATAACGTAACTTGTATGGAACTGAAATAAATCCAGCAATACTTACACCATCCTAGTAACATGAACCACTTAGTTCTGTTTTTCTCCGTGAATACAGAGACAGATATCAATATCTGGAGGTACAGCGCCTCCACAAAAATCCACATGTAGCTAGCCGCCAATGTATAGTTATACAGAGAGAAAAATAACCGACACTCCCAATGCTGGAATGACAAAAGTGTATACTGTGTAATTTTAAAATAACTGTAAAAAGAATGTAATAAAAGTGTTAATTTAGTAATTAAACAGTGTTGTAAAAAGAAAGTAATAAAAGTGTAAACTTGGTTGTAAAATAGTGAAAGAGAAGGAAATATCTGATTTTTATTGAGATTGAGATGGACTTATATAGAAACCCCTTCCAATTTCTTTAAGCAGATAAAAATAATACTTACAGTGACGTCATCTCTAAATTTAATTTGACCATGGTCATAGTACACGTCACCGGGAAATCCTACGAACTCTACCAGTAGATTTTCCTTGATGAAGGAGACAATGGCACGCAGAATAAAAGACACAAACAGGTTGATATGGATGGCGTTACGAGCACAGTGGAGCTTCCTACAACATTAAATAAATGTACAGGTGTGTACACTCTGTATAGAATCCGAATAGGGCCATGCAATTCACTAGATTACACCATCGAGCATCGACTTAAACGTCGATGGCGCGAAGAACGATGATACAACTGCGCGATAATGCGATGACGATGGTAGGATAGTACGTGGGAGCAAAATTGAATATCGCTTCATCGTCACCGCACTATCGTCATTGTGCTATCGCTACATCATACTGTCGCATAGTAATATGTAGCATTTCATTGGAATTAAAAAAAAATGCCTTTAATCCGCGTTAAAAAAAAAGAATAAAGCAAACATTAATATTCTCTTCTTGTAAATCTTAGTTGTGATGTTGACATATCATTAAATGCATGAAATATCCAGGATCAAATTCACTCTGTCTAGTACACATATAAGGAAGCAGAAAACTACTCACTTGAAGTAAATCATGATGAACACGGCTATCACTAAGGACGCCAGGGAGAGACCGTACCCGATGTTATACATCAGACGAACCGAGTCCGCATATTGCTGAAAGTTAAAACAAATAACAATCAATTATTTAAAATAAATTTTTATTAACACGCGCAAAAGCTCAATGGTTAGGGATAACTTGTACACAAAAAATAAGAAGACATGCAGATAAAAATTTCAAAACGTTTTTTAGCGGGGAGGGGGGGGGGGTGAGAACATATATACTGTAAATCACTTTTTTATTCGCGAGAACTTTACTTTCGCGTTATCACGCGAGAGAATAAGCTCGCGAAATTTTTTATCTCGCGTATAATAGTAGACCTTAAGATTTTATTGAGAAGTTACAGCAATTCTTGAAATTAATGTCTCGCTAATAAAGAGTAAATGACAGTCTCGCGAAAATAAAGTGTCGGGAAAATTTACTGATCTACAGTATAAAGAACTTCTTGCATGTACATAATAAAAGTGATGGACAAAAGAGCAGTTTATAAATCACTGGCTTTTCCACTTTAACAAAAGGAGTGTTTGATTTTATAACTTTTTTCCTTCTTGTCAGGCTTTCATGTGTATGAATAAAGAATGTGTTTTGAGATTCAGAAGTTAACTATTCAATTTACTCTACTCTCGAGGTGATGTTTACTATAGATGAAAAGTATATCTAAAGCTATATATTTTAAGAAGCACAAGTCACTTGTCTTCTATGATAAAAAAGAAAATAGTCTTCTTTACGTTTGTCGCATAATTCCTATATTTACCTCGATCAGGGCCGGAACTGTACGAGGGTCCTCGTTGGTTTTTGACCCGATGCATTGGGTAAAGTTGGTCCATGTATTGTTGTTGAGCGGATTAACAAACCAAGAACCATCCTCATTACATTGTCTTGAAGCATTATCTGTAGTTAGAATAATGAAAATACTTTTTTAAAACGAAATTTTCTAGTTGTAAGGCCATATATTTATAATAATTGATCTTAAATCTTGCGCTGCAAGGCGTCCTTAAATTGTAAGCATTCTAATTAATAAAATCAATTAGATTTCTTCTGGAACTTCCTTAGCAATTTTTATACAGGAGTATAGAGGGATGCTGGGTTCTAATCGAACACGACGTTCTCTAGTATGTTTACGTTATTCACTGCAGCCAGTGGGATTCGAACTCGAGACTTTAGAGCAAACACTCCTACCATTGAGCCACGCAGTATTTTAGACTCAGTAGATGACTTACTACTGGTATCGATGTTCTTAATGTGACTGGGGCAGGGCTGGATCGCTAACTGACCCGCAGGGGTGGGGGGCCAACACATCACCGTGTCCCAGGCTCTTCTACAATGGATCCCTGTCAAAACAGTTACAACATAAACTAATTAGTCTACAATTATGTATAGATTAAAAGGTAAAAAAAATATACACGTACATGTACTGTATACTGTTAAAAAATAGCCAAAATATAATGCGTCCTCTTAGTCTCTATGTAACAGTATAAAAATTGTCATAACTTAGTTTTAATATTAAAAAAACTGTTTCTAAATATTCTTGAATTTGGTGTATGTATAAAAACAGTTTTATTTGATATGAAGTATGATTATTATATACCGCATATTTGATTTTGTCACACAAAATGCGTTGTTATCGAAGCTCTTCCCGTTTATTATATGTCATTATAATTCACCTCTAAGTGTTATTTTGTGAGAAACTGATGGTTGTATCATGTTGTATATCATGTTGTAAATTTTGCAATTACCTCCCCCTAGTAAATTCAAAATTTACAACATGATAGTTGAGTCAACTCGGAATTTACTTATCCGTCCGTACATTGTCGGTTCTTAGTCACTATGTTTCCTAGTTATCTCCCTTTTCTATGCATCAATGGAAGAGGAAGGTGGGTGATTGAAATTATCCAATCTAATTTTAAGCTTTACTGGTCAGAGACCAGAGGAGCTTATGCGATAGTAATGCGTCCGGCGTCCGTCCGTCTGTCTGTCCGTCTGTCTGTAAACAATTTTTCAAAACGCTACTCCTCCTACAATTTTAGTCTGATTTCAATATAACTTGGCACACAGGTAGATTACACTAAGATACATAAAATGGTGCATCGGTTTTTGATGTCGATGAACGGTGTTGCCATGGTTACTAAAAATAGAATTTTCTGAGAAATTCCTTTAAAATGCTACTCCTTAAAGTTTTGGTCTGATTTCATTATCACTTGGCACACAAGTAAACTACACTAATTTACATATAATAGTGCATCGGTTTTTGATTTCAATGAACGGTGTTGCCATGGTTACTAAAAGTAGAATTTTCTGTGGAATTCCTTTAAAATGCTACTCCTACAGTTTTGGTCTGATTTCAATATAACTTATCACACAAGTAGACTACACTAAGATACATAATTCTATGCATCGGTTTTTGATCAATACAAACCAGTAGAGCTACAGTCTCGACAGAGACTTCTGGTTGTGATTATGAAATTGTCTATCGCTATATCAGGTTTTTAAAGTTACGTTCCAATTGAAATAAGTAACATTGATTATTTCCTTGTCATTTAATTCTTTCGATGGCTAGTATTTGATTGGATTGAAACAGATCAATTTGCCTACTTGTAAAAATGCTTCTTCTTTCAATCTTTGTTATGAAGTATAAATATTCATTATTACAATGCATTTTTTAAATATGACGAGTAAATTATATGATGATAATGACATCTAATGTAATACAATATAATAAAATAAATTTAAACAACATATGTCTATATATATGCAACGTTTAATAACAAATTTTAAAAAAAATGTTTTTGCTTTTGTTTTGCTTGTTGTGACATAAAACTCACTATCACATGTTATGTGATTTTACTTGATTTATGGACATGGATTATCGTCAAGGAGTGAATAACTCGACATTCTGATCAGATTACTCTCCCTTTATAGAAAACTACAAAGTAAACCTCCGTATTTAAGACCGACTTATCTATACCAGTACAGAGAAAGTTATGGCCCCTCCCGATGTTCAATGTTTTATGTGACTTCTTATTTTTTTCTTCATTTTCTTTCACTTTTTCAGTTACATGTATACCTTCAAAGGAAACATAATCTCTTTGATATCTTTATAGTTTTGATAAAATCTGATTCTGTAGAGTTAGTTGCCTTAACATGACCCTTTATATAAATCTTTAAAATATCCTCCTAACCAAAGGATTTCGATTCTGGAGGAAATGTAAAAAATATGAATGGCTACTAACTGCTATGGTCAGACGGACAATTAAAAACATAGACAGACAGACGGACAGGCATACAGCCCCACTGGGATAACATTCTTAGTAATCATGAGTATCAGGTTTCAGATGAGCTAACTAGCGCATGAAGTTACTATGGATAGAATATTTTTAGATCCACAGGACAGGCGATTTCCTAAAAGATATACGTAAGATGTCATAAATAAACACCGCATCTTCCTCATTCTTAAATTTATAGACGAGCTTAGTAATTGGGTAAATTCTATACACTCTCATTTCTTTTATATAGTGTAATTGTTATAACACAAAAATATGTTCATCATGTTCATATATATTTGAAATAGTACGGGGCGAAACGTTTCGAAAGTTTGGTGTCATATTTTCTTCAGATTGAAACCAACCTTAAGGATTTCTATAATTAAGCAATGCTGAGAGAAACTAAACACAGATCATTTATAATGGGGAGAAAATAGTGTATAATCACAAACCCGTTCGTTTTTATGATGGCTAAATATTGACAGCTGATTTCAATTTAGCGGAACACAATAAACGTCATCGTTGCTGAAATCTGGTTTCGATCTGATTGGTATAAAAAGATTTTTAACCCCCTGTAAAACTCATCTTTATGTAGACATAGGAATCATTTGCAAAAAATTCTCATACAAAAATTACTATACAGTCACTTGCACGCACTATACCTGTTTTAACATCTCAGTGTCATAATCTCATGAAAATCTGACATTCTGCCCCCCTCTCTCTCTGCATTTGTCTTGCTGTGAAACTTAAAGTTTTTTTTTTTTAAATTATATAACACTGAAACTTTAATTTGATAAAAATATATGCATCAGCATGAATGATTTAAAAGAGAAATGCTGGTATTCTAGAAAACACATTCCCAGTTCTGCAGAGATTACGATCTTATAACTCTAATTTAACAGATATATTGTCTTTTCATAACATTTTTTTTAAATGCAGCTCGTTGACTTTGGGACATAATTGATTTTCTTAAACAATCCACGATTGTTCATGAAATAAATTAGATGTAATTATTTTGCAAAACATCCGACAGAAAAGATATTTCCTGCAATTAACAAATTAAGGGATTAAACGAGAAAAAGAACGATTTTAATACATATAGTTATCTGCTTATTGATCCGAGGGATGTTTGAATGATGTAAAAAAACATTACGAAATATTTGTTGGGCGTTTCTTATAGCTTCAATAAGTATTAGGTGTATATATTGATATTGTATATGTGTAATTTATCTATAGAGACAGTTGAAATTCTTTTTTAAAAAAGCTTTCTTCAACGGCTGCATATACACAGGGTCGTCAGCAGGTCTTCTCTAGGGTAGAAGCTAGGGATAGTCAGGGTGGGGTACCCTCCCCTAGGCTTGATATTTTATATGAATATATACTATTTTGGTTGGTTATGGTGCGTTCTGAAAATCTATTTACCAAATATTACACAAATTTTAACAGCAAAACTCTAATAAGATCTTATGGATCAAGTTTCTACTTTTGAAAAGGGGGATGCGGTTACACCCTGGGATCCCCTTGAACGACCTTGATACGACAAAAATGACAACTTAATGTTCCGTTTTCCTTGTAAGACTTAGAGTTTTAACCCTAATAGTGATATCGAGACAGAACTGAAGCTTGACTTTTCAATGAACCCGATCTCATTTGTTAAGCTACCAGTCTCGCTTTGTACATTGAAATTAAAGAATTCCGAATATCAAATAAGATTGTTTTTGAAACCCGTTACATCTGATTATTTTTAAAGGTACGTTTCTTTTTCTCTTTGTATCAAAGATAATGGTATATTATGCATGTAAATTATTCATTAAGATGCTTACTATGATAACATTCAAAGTTTATTTTGCATTAAAATAAGTCAGACAGGTACATGTATGATTGAGATGAATAACAGAATCCCTACTATTTACTTACAAAACAACACTGTACAGCAGATATACATGTAAGACACTAATCCCAAGATCACAAACCATTTCACAAACAAAACCAAAAAATGTGCAGTTTTCGAAACACTAATGTGCCCCCCCCCCTCCCGTAAAGCAGCGTATGGCGAAGATTTTATGTTTCCCAAAGGCGGATTAATTTCAAACCTCATCATGCTCATGGTCAAGATATCAAGAAAATGTTACAAATAGAAAGGTATTGTAACAATAAATTAGATTGTGAAATATAATTTCCCAAGCAGAAACGATTTGAAATTTATGGCAAAGGTTAAAGTCTTTAAATGTAGGTCAAACTCTAAAGTAAGGGTCACTGAGTCAACTTTTATGGTACCCAGGGAAAGGTCCTGTTACAGGAAACACACTCGTGAAATATCGAACCCTTGTCATCAAATATTGAAAAGTTAATGTAAACTAGGTTGAAAACAAAAGTCAACATCAAAAGATCATCTTTGATAATGTTCGAAAGGGTCTTCTCACAAGGGGAACATCTTTGAAGATTAGAAGACTAAAACTACTTAAAAATTATGCCCAATGTTACATTTTGAAATAGATCAAACTCGGGTCAAAGTAGTCCAAAATTATCAAACTGAAGGAGAATCTTTTCACAACAAGCTGTACATGTATTTGTGAAACACTGATGTCTCCTTGTTGAAGTTTTTCAGGTCCAAGTCAAACTCCAAAGATCAAGGTCAGAGGGTCAAAATTGTTGGTATCCAAAGGAAGGTCTTGTACACAAAATACATCTGTGAAATATGAAAGACCTACATGTGTAGTGCTACCTGTTCAAAAGGATGGCCAAAATTGATTTTTGCTTTTTGAAAAAGTGGTTCAAACTCTAAATGTCAAGGTCAAAAGACCCATCAAAAGGTCTTGTCACAATGAACACACAGATGAAGCTCCAACTCTTTAAAGGTATTGGCCAAAGTTAAGGTGTGTTCATATTTTGTAAAAATGTGCAAAATCCAAGAGCAGGATCAAGAGGTCAATTTTGGTGGTACACTACTCATAACGCATAAAACCTGTAAAGTACGCATGCCGTAACACATGGCACAAAAGTAATGGCAAGGTTAAAGTTTTTGTGGGCAAATAGATAAGCAGACAGACAAACGGACGGACAGGGCAAAA